CGACACAAACTTGGCGATTTACCGATGATGGACGTCTATGCTGCGCACATAAGAATATGTGTGTTCAGTCAAAAGACGGCTTTATGGGACTATACGAAGGTTGGAACATTGTTTTCATTTGCACGCTGATTATCAAATCGACAAAGATCCGCGAAAGTTGTGAATTTGTTTTTATCACGCGCTTTATCGTCAAATATATTTTCTGTTATTTTATGTTGCTTTGAATTAGTTTATCATATCCCTTATTTGCAAGTTAATTATCGTTTTTGCGTGTGTGATGTATCTAATGCTTCTGCCTGTAAATGCGAAGCATAAAACGTTGTAAATTGTAAGCGTACGGTATCGTTGAAATTGACAAAATGATTTGAATATTTGATGAAAAGAATTGATGACAGATATTTTACGTGACACTTATTTTACAATATTATATTTTATATTTTACAGTTTTGTCTGCCAATTATCTAAATCTATCGTTGTTAGGAGTCTTCTATTTTTTTTTTGTCATTTCTTTCTCGCTATTTACGACTAGAGAGATCTAAATTGATCATGAATGTTGCAGGCGGCAGTGTCGCCCGTTGGCAAATGTGTACGTATAGTTTCAAAGTACACATTAAAATTGGCTGTTTCCTTACCCTGAGCTTACTCATAAGTATTATATGCTATAATATACCTATTTCTCTGCTTGTTTTGCCCCTTCTTTCTTTTTTTCTTTTCAAGCATCATATATTTTTCCAGGAACGTCAAAGCGCGATATAAAGAAAAAGGAATATTTTTCTATACAAAGTCTTTCGAGAGAAAGAATACATTGTTTTTCGAATAAAATTTTGATAAATAAAAATAAAGTTGCTAAATAATTTGTGAGATAAGTCAATCACGGCGTTATCGTACTCTGGCGTACAGTGCTTCTGCATTTGCAAATTTTTTTAATTATACAGTTTTATTATGCATATTTTTACGCATAGTAAAAGGAACGTCGTTATTTTTAGGGAGCGAAGCTGTATTAGGTCCTCAAACACATAGTAATCCACCATCGATTGAGCAACGTGTGGGTAGACAAAAGTTGCGACCGGGTTCTGGATTTTTGTCAGTCAGAGTGACCACTGACGGCCCAACTCGCGTTCTGCAAGTTTTGGATATCAAGGAGAGGGTGTGTGTCGCAGTTTTGCAGTTTATATTATTTATTTATATATTAGTCACTTATTTTATTAGATTATTCTGAACATTATTATAGTAATGCAAGAAGTAAATCCTTGATAACACTAAAAATAAATGTTCAAATTAATTAATGCAAATCTTTTTGTATTTTAGAAGAAAACATTTGCCTTACTCGAAGAACGCGATTGGTCACACATCGCCGTAAGTCATCGGCCTACCCAGATTAATGCTGACATTAAAAAATTGGATTTTAACGAATTAAATCTAGCATTGAACTTGCCGGCCGGCCTCGGATTGTCTATTGTATCGCAAAGACCGGTAGAAGAGCTGTTATTCGCGCGACTGGCTGAAATCTCCTTAGATCTAATGCGGACCCCATTGAGTACCACATTAGATCTGAGCGTCGCTGATGTACAAATTGATAATCAACTATTCGAGGCACAATGCACCTCAGTTTTATTTGTGACGCGATTATCTCGTACGGAGGATGAGCATCGACCTGCCCTTCATTTAACGATGGAGAAGTCACAATCAAAGAATCAGAATGCTGAGATTTATAAACATTTCGTAGTAAGCGTCAAACCTTTATGCGTACACTTAGAAGAAAAATTTATCCTGAAATTGGCAGCTTTTCTCGGAATTGGTAAATCAGAGTTAGAAGTACCTGTCGACGAAAACGATTTCAAGGCACAAAGATTTATTTCCGAAGTGTCTGCTGCACATGCTAAGAGATATTACTTTGGCGCTCTGAAACTTGTTCCCAATCAAGTATGTAAATATCAATGTAGACGATTATTTTTCTTTCATAAATAATAGCAATACACTATTTATTCACATGGTATACATACGAACTGTTTTCTCTTTAGGTAAAACTCAGCGTTCTCACTACGACGAAATTGCCACATCATTTGCAAGCTGTAAAGAGGAAATTAGGGTTGACTCTAATTAACTTTGAAAATGCAACTATCGAGTTAGAGCCGTTTGTCAAGAAACATCCTTTCGAAAGTAGTCAATTCCTAATACATTCCATCGTAAAGCATTACAAAGATGTATGAGGATTATAGACTGTAATATATAACTTTTTTTCGCAAATCTATTGATTTAGCAAATAAATGCCATGATTTCAGGAATTGAAATGGCAAGCCGCAGTTATTCTGGGTTCCGTGGATTTCTTGGGAAATCCTCTTGGATTCATGAATGATGTGACAGAAGGTGTTTCTGGCCTTATTTACGAAGGCAGCGTGAAAAGTCTTGTGAAGAACGTCACACACGGTATTTCAAATTCGGCAGCAAAAGTTACGGAATCTCTGTCAGATGGTTTAGGGAGAGTGATTATGGACGAAAGACACGAAGAGGCCAGGCAGAGGATTCGGGCTAATACTACGGGCAGTAGCGATCACTTGGTAGCCGGCTTGAAGGGTTTCGGTTTTGGTCTACTTGGTGGTGTCACCAGTATATTCAAACAAACATACGATGGAGCAACCAGCGAGGGTTTTCCAGTAAATATTTTAAAATACATCTTTGAATAAATATTATTTATAGAACACAAAGATAATGAATAATGTAAAATTTCAGGGTTTCTTTGCGGGTTTTGGAAGAGGAGTAGTAGGTACAATAACTAAACCTGTCGTTGGTGTCTTAGATTTGGCAACGGAAACAGCTAGTGCTGTGCGAGAGACAAGTAGAAGGTAATTATATAAATAATATATATAATAATAAAAAATATATAAATTATTATATTATATGATTCTATTATGTGTCATATTTGTGTTTCTTTACATCGTGAACATCTCGTGATATTTAATCAATTTTGTTTATAGCGCTCACCGTGCAATACCAAAACGTGACCGACCGCCGCGTGTCGTCAGTGGTTCTACCGGATTGCTGCCACCGTACAATCGTCAGCAGGCCGAGGGTCAGGAGTTTTTGTACAGCATTAACAATCGCGACTATTCCGAGCTCTTCGTCGCCTACGAATGTCTGTGCAGCGGCACGGAAAATCTTAAAGTGCTGGTGTCTAATGAGAGAGTACGCGTTATTTCTGGTGGCACGAAAGCGGTGGTAACTCAAGTAAGCTTGGCGGATCTCCTCTGTTGTCAGCCGATGCAAAAAGTTCAAAGCAACAACGTCACTCTGCATTACATAGAATTAATATCCAGATTCGATTCGTCGGCCGCAGTTAATCTAGACGGATTGGCCGAATTGTTGAGACGACCAAAGGTACGCTGTGACAATGAAGAGGTGGCGAAGCGGGTAAGTTACAAACGGAATGTAATCTTTATTACTATATAATTCAATTTAAAAATGGTACAAGTATTCATCTTTCTTTTTCGTTGTAACTGAATAAAGATTTCCATATATTACCATTTATTAATTTATCTTTGTGATTGTAGGTATCACAACAAATCAATTATGCCAAGGGGATGCATGAAGAACGTAGTTTGACATTGTCATCATCAGATACTATGTTAGATGATGTACAACACTACAAGTAATCAACTGTGCGACTAGAGTTCAATCTTACTTCTGACGTGTTTCCTGGACGTACTCTCTCTAGTCAAATTTTAACTTTATCGCGTAGAACGAACGAGAATCTCTAATGCCTTAGTTACGACGCTTAACGTTAAGTTTACAAAAAGACTGATACGAATTTTCGTAAAAGTAACTGTTTGCCACAAGATATAAATTATTCGAGTGTAATCAAATTCTAATTTTGTGTCTTGCAACTGTGGTACAGAAATATGTGGCATAGAAATTTTTTATACAGGTCGATAAAGTGTAAAAATGTAAAATAATCCATAGACTCAAGAGATTTTTTTAAAATAATGTACATAATACGTGTACATATATCAGTTTATATGCAAGATATTCCAGAATCACCATTCTCGATGAAGCTATCTTGACGGGAAATCTTTAATAAAAGAGAAATTTTTTCGTATTTCTGCAATAAAGCTATATATTTTATTAATTGCTTGTAATTTAGATCAGCGCATCGATTTCAAAGATAGATTTTTCTTCTATTTTTGACGTCTATAATTTAGACGCGGTGATTTTGGGACGCGTTGTATCAATGTACATATATGTATTAAAATTAATGAATTGTGAATTACTTATCACAATTACTCACAATGGGATGACCTACTTAACGCAATACTTAGAATCAAAGCTTGTAAGTATACATAGTGTACATTTAGTACAAGTATCGTAACACGTGTTCAATTTTTTTTTTATATACATATACGTTTTTAGTGGCACACATCTTTTCTGTTTTAATTGTTCGCACATTTCATTTTACGGTATCTCAAATGTGCTACTTTGTACAGAATAACCCTGATATGTATATTAAATTAACTAGTAGTTTTTTTGAACATGGCCGGAGAACACTACCGCGTTTCCTGATGTACAGACATGGAGTGTAATAAAATTGTAAACTCTGTATAAATAGATTAAGTCAGCTATATTTACTAAGTACTTTTGTAAAGCTGGAGTACGAAATGCGAAATAATATATGTTTGTAATATATATCATGTTGATACTTGTTAAGCAAATTAATAAATGTTACAAGTATGACAGTGAGTCAGAATAGGGAAGTTTTCGCACTTATTCTAAGGTATTATAATTATTACAAAACAAATTAAAATAACGACAGAGAAGTTTCGAGTACATTTTTGGGTTTAATATACCTATAAAAAAGAAAATTCTGAACTATAATATCGTAGAGCACAAATATAATTACAATAGTTTGGGGGAATATTTATTCTCAATATTGTTTTGAATTCGAAACTTCGGCTTCTCGCCGTGTGAGGTCACTTAAATCAAATGTCATCCTCGGAATTCGGATTCGATCGAATGCGTTTATGTGGAACTCAGTGGAACTTAGGAAAGTTGCGCCTCAGATCGCTTCCATCATTGCACTGCATTGCACGCTCATCACGTAATTTTTTGATTCCGATAAATGTAACGAGAATCTTTCGTTGACGAACAGCCCGGAGACATGGAAGAGACATGTCTGGAGGAGGGACCTGCGGTAAATTTCGAAAGAGCCACCCTAGAAATCGCTAATACCGACCGTGAGTTTCGCCGTCAATCTTCTACTCTTGGATCGTCAATAATAATTTTTTAACAACTTCTAATTCTACAACACAATAGATGATAAGGTAAATTTGTAGTCTATTACAGACATTTCTTTGATTTCAGCTATTAGACCGTTGACGGAGAGCGCGGACAATGCATCGAATCAAAATTCGGCCTCGAGAAATGTGTGCAACGTGCCATTCAAGCATATAGATGTTCATACATTTTTCACTGATAGAAACGAAGTTGTGGAACGAGCGATAAGCGACTGTACTGAAAAATTGATAAAGCAAAACGATGATGAACTTGTTGGAAGTTGGCTTCTGACGGAGTACGTGTTATTTATGTAAATCGAGTTATATTCTTTGTTATTGTAATTTTGCATCAACAGAAAAATTTATTTGTTTTAAGGATAAGTCTATGGGATACGGAAAAGGAAAGACTCGTATTATTAGCGACAAAAGCCCTTTACTCTGTAAAATATGACTTTATTTCTTTAAAGATACTTGACTTTAATCGAATACCTATATTGCTGTTTGACACAATAGTTACAGGAAATATAATTTATCCATCCTCGTCTCTTGCACCGTGAGTACTTTGATATCATAAATAATTTGTGTACATACATACAAAGAGTTTATGAAGTAAACGACCAGAAGTTTACGATCTTTAACTTAAATGATATTTTTAATAATGTTCCCTTTTCTATTGAGGTTTATAATGAGGCATATATACACAGCATAAAATATAAGAACAATAAGAATCTTATTAGATTATATTTAAAAAATATATATGTTTCATATAAGAAAAAAATCACGGCTTCTGTATTCTTGTTTAGTGTGCATCATTCATATTGATCTAATAATTCTAGACGATTAAATGGATTAGCAGAAGGCGTGTCGTCTGTAATTCATTGTGCAGTACGTCAGGAATGGTCGTCTATCGCAGGTTGCTCTAATCTTACTCAATTTGAGCCTAGGTACACAGCTTTGTTGTTGTAATTAGCGCTTATTTCCCATTTTGTTTAATCGATTTACCTTTTATGCTTTCGTTGTTATTGCCTCTTTATTGTATCGTACCATGTATCTATATTAATAAATATTTATTTTATACAGTATGCCTTCTATGTATTTATATTATTATATGTGTAATGTTTATGAAACTATCAATTTTGTACCTCATATTGCAAAAGCTGAAATATTGTAAGAAAAATATATGCGTAAGAAATTAAAATATTTTATGTGTACATATTGAAATATGTAGAAAAAGAATTTTTTATTTTTCAGAAAGCGTCATATGTCAGGAATAAGACTTATGTGGAACAGAGGACAATCTTTGTCTCTTATAAAAAAGTGGAATCCATTTTCGAGAGATATACCGTGGCTTACATATGCTAGTCATCCATTGTTCTGGTACAAAGGTAACTGTTAAAATCCAATATAATAAACAAAGAGATTATAAGTGGCATTGCTGCATAAAAGCTTTGCCATGTGTCCTGTTACTAATAAAAATTATGACTAATGAGATGTTTTTTTAGATGGAACCGAGATCGTTAAAACAAGATTCGACATAGAAGCCTTTAATACTACGCTCAAAAGTTTACTACCTCGTGAAAGCAACATTGTTAATATGCCCATCATTATAGAAAATTATTGCGGTCTTGGTGCCTTAGTGCACAATAGAAACGGCTTAGGTTTCTTCAAAGTGCGTGGCAAAATAAGTTTCTAATTTCTTTGATCTCATAGAATTGCAAACATTTCAAGGTATTTCTTTAAGCTTGATACTTTTTCTCGTTTTTAGAATTTTTTCTTATATCACACATTTGTGATTTCAATTTTTTTTGTACAGTATTACTATAGATTTAATATATTGCAACATAATCTTCTATAATAAATAAATATATATATGTATATTAATAATAATTAGTAATAACTAATTTTTATTAACTATTTTTATTAATTATTATTAATGTATATATAAATATCAAATTATTATATATATTAAATTTAAATATATTCCAATATATATTTTTCGAATTGATTAATTATTTTCATAAAAATGACATATCTAATAGTAAAGTCTATTAAACATTTTAATTAATTAAGTGCTGTATATTTCTTGCAGTGTGTTATATATAAATTATATATTTATATAAGTATAGAAATATGTATAATATATGCATATTGTATGTTATTAAACTATATACACACATACACATACACACACTTTGTGCTAAATTATTTCATACAAAAAGATATGAAAATTTACCAAATTTATTCAATTTATAATAAAATTTTAAAATATTACACATTAAAAACTTATATTATTCTTAATATTTAAATTACTATAATATCTATGTATGGAATTAGATTTAACAACATTTATTGTAATTTCTTATTATAGAATGATACAATGTACTTATATGTGTACACAATGCTATTTCTGAGTTAACAATAAATGAGAATGTTAGATATATTACTAACTTTGTAATTCAGAAAATGGCACAAGTATAATTTTGAGCACACAAGATTTCGTAAAATTTTATCCATAAAAATATTTTCATAAATTTTCCCACTGTTACAATATATTAATTTTTTATTATTATATATGTTATTAAAAAAACAATTTCTTTTCTATACGAAAGTTCATTTATGGATTTGCCTTATATATTTCGTGGATTTAAAATCACAGATCATCAGCTGATTTTTGTCAGATTAGACTAGGTTATATTAAGTATAGGTTAGGATGTTAAGCCAACAGATGTCTTGTTTATGTCACCTGTTGATTCAACACAGCTGCGAATGTGTCATTATTTTTCTAAGTACCTAACCAAATGTTACACAATTGGCGAATTTTTATTTTGTAATACTTTTCCTATTTGATAATATCACAAATATAAACTGGTTATCGCAATTGCAAATGTAAAATTATCTATAAGTTTTTAAATATAAACGTGCTTGGAGTATAGGATGTTAATATATAATGTAATATTATCGATGATTCTATGATGATTTCATTCTACTTTTACATTATCGACACATATAACTACATGAATTACATATCGCAGGTAATATTTACTATATTAGTAATAAATAAAATAATCATTGAGTTAGATACATATTTGATATGTGAATTAATTATGTTGTATGTTTGCAGTTTTGTCGGAATAAGTTTACTTTAGAAACGATATGGAGAATAAAAAATAAGACTCAAAGAAATTTAAAATGATACGCACAGTATCTGCAAAAGAAGATCTTAATGAGATAAGTGAGTTCAATAAAGGTCAAACATAATAACTGAAGGCAAGGGTATAGAATAGATTCTATACTTGATGTTTGATTACCTGACATTGGTTCCGATAGAACTGGATCATTTTATTAAATTTGTCATTGTGATAATAAAAAATGCGTTTGCGATTTTTAAAACAGAAATCGATATTTCTAATCGGTTTTGGGATTGGTTTTGTTCTTCCGTTATTATTTTTTTTATTAAGAAGTATATTTGTGATCGATTCTATCGTTGATCAAAATCCATCATTACGACAACCTGAATACTACCTGAATAAAAAACTTCGTCATGAAGAGATTATTTTACAACTTTGGAAAAAAATGAATGAAACAACAAATTTTAACAGTATTACATATCACGCTTGGTTGGCAGCACAAAACTTGAAATTATACAAAATTGATTTGGACGAGTATTTGTATGGTCTACAAGAAAAAGATGACAGAAAAGAGAAACATATGGAATGGAATTGGTTGAGAAAACAAGTATCTATTACATGTGTAATTTTTGTGGAAAAACTTAAGCTCGGAAAATCAATCAAGGCTACTTGGGGTAAACGCTGCAACAATATATATTTCTTTGGACATCGCTTGAAGAATACAGAATTGCCTATTATTGATGTAAATATAAAAATTATATCTTCTTGGCAACTATTGTGCGAAGCTATGAATTATATTTGGAACCACCAAGTAGACAAATTACAGTGGATTATATTTGTGAAAGATGATACTATAATTATACCAGAAAATTTGCGCTATATGGTTGCTCCATTGGACTATACACATGACTATTATTTGGGTCATCCAGTGGTTCTATGGGGTCAGGCTTACAATGTTGCTCAATCTGGATACGTTCTTAGTAGAGGAGCATTGAATAAAATAGTGCAAATGTTTAATAATACAGAAAAATGTATTAAAGGAGGAAAGTATTGGAAGAAAGAAGATTATTATCTCGGTAAACAAACATGATTTCATGATGATATCAATGATAAATTTTAATTGATATCTTACGTGTACGCGATATCGAATTTTTATCTTATTTTTACAGGAAAGCATTTGTCATCTTTAGATATACGTCCATCTGATACCAGAGATCAGTACTTAAGAGGTACTTTCCATGGTTATTCTTTACAAAATCTTCTATGGGGTATTGCGAAACCGGACAGCTATTTTACACGTGCTGTATATCCGATAAAAGGAGAATGCTGTTCGCCGATATCTGTGACTTTCAGCGTTAGTGATCCCGACAAGATGCACATGCTAAATTATTTGTTGTATCAATTGCATGTATTGAACGACGAAAGCCGATTTGGTAATGTTTCTGCAGCGGTTCGAGTACGTGAAGAGGATGTGAGTTTCACAATTGACGCTGTTTGTTAACTTAATTTTTAATAATCTTTAAAAGAGATTTCTGTCGGATATTAATAGGTTAATTATGTAATATTACAATATGATTAAATTTAAGTCTTTTTTGATAAATATGATACAATAAAGAAGTATCATGATAATAATCGTAAATTTATGTTCCAGGTTTGGAAGGTTGCACTGCAAGAAGAATTCAACATCACGCATTTGAATGATATATCCAGCGACGCTTATTATGAAATATGGCACTCGAGATATTCTGAACCAGGACAGTTAAAAATTGCTAAAAATTATCGGACACCAGACCAGCTAAATTGTTTACTGACAAGTTACAAAGGGGAAACTTCATCAGTGCATAATTGTAGGACTAAAAATGTCGTCAACAGTACAAAAAACTGAAAAAGTTATTTATTAGAATGCTAGTTTATTATAGTTATCAAAAAAGTTTATATACAATTCAAGAGATTGTGATTATTTGTGATGTTTCCTCTGTTTGTATACATGATTACATAAAATGATATAACTTTGGCAAATAAGTATATTAATAAAAATAACACTGATATGCTCCATTTTTAATTTACTATGAAAGTAGCAAAAAGGACAGTGAATGTCAATAAAAAAATCAAGCCGAAAGCTGCATTAACATCGCTCACTGTAATATATAATTAATCGGCTTATGCGTTCTGGGTAATTTATTAATCAGAAATGGTTGATAAAACTATTTCCCTTGTTAAGCTCAGAAAGTTTTATCGAGCTAATTAGAAGCTCATTAACGTTTAGAATGAAAGTGATAAGTTAATCATGTTCCTAAAACGTTTTCGCAGTAACTTATCACATATTTAATAATTATGATTATTAACGGTATAAAAAAGCAATTATATACTTGGTATATTATTTAAAAATATAAGTACATTTTTTTAACTTTAATTCATGTTACATTCATTTCAAATAAACTTAACCTTGCGTGTAAAATACATAGATTCAGAGATTTGTTATAATGAAAGAAAACATTTATGGAAGGAAGAAATTTTGGAGATAACTAAACTTTTTATAAATATAATAAATGTTAAATATTTTTTATAATACGTATTTCTTTGTATTATATGTCTATCACGGACATGATACGGGATTATTTTTACATTTAAATATTTCGTATGTATCGTCTGATTCGCGACCGGCTGACCTATATTTTTCATCTTTCTCGTTTATCGTGTAATTTGAGCTTATCACTTATCCGTTTCCTTCTAGAGGTAGATATATAAAAGGGCTGTACTCCGATTTACGCTTTTTAAAAGTGTTACTTAGTCCACGCATTTTGTCCAAGATATAAATGTAAAACTTTTGGTACGCAGAATTATATCGTGCTGGTACCATGGTGCCGTTGCAGATACTTGGATGTTTATTCGTGTTAATTATTTTTGCAAGCAATATAAGACAAGGAAATGGGTATTCAGAGAACATGAACGCGCAAGATGTAAATGAGTTAGTACATTATACTTATCTTTCTTATGTAATCTATAATGTTCTATAATATTATAGAGTTTAACTAAAATTTTTCTTTATAAATGTAACTAAAACATAACTGCATTTTATTTTTCAACAAATTATGCGAATTATTTAAAAATCTTATCTCTATTTATAAATTTTCTCGTGTCTGTATTAGGGAAGAGGCTATGCTACAAGATGCACCGGATTCAGCGATCGGAGATTCTTATAATGTTAAAAGCAGCAAAGGAGGAAGACGCGTCTTCGCAGGGGGTTGTACTCGTAGACCGAGTGCGCCTGTGAACGGCAAAATAAAATGTTCTTTGGACAGGTATTTAAAAGCACTTCAAATAAAATTCAAATAAAGATGATATTATTAATTTTGACTCTTACGTCTAAATTATTTAAACTGATAAGTTAATCGACAAATTTTTTTTAGTATTAGATTTGCAATTAAAGTTTTTAAGTTTTTTATAAAATATTTAATTTTGTAAACAGAAATGCATTAAGACAAAACAGTAAACAAATATGCTAGATGTAACATTGTAAATCTTGTAATCTTTGTAAATAGTGGCTGTACCGCAAGTTGTGCGCCGGACTATAAATTTCCGAACGGCGCGTTTCATCTAACGATCACCTGCGTCGATAAGGAATGGCACATTGGAGATACCGAATGGAATTTGGTACCACATTGTGAACGTACGTAGCAAAAGTGAATTTAAATTTAATTTATATATGATGAAAATCGAAAGACAATAAAATATCTTCGCGATCTAAATCACACATTAAATCTTTTATAGCGATCTGCATGCCGGAATGTCAAAATAATGGAATATGCGTTGCACCTCATCATTGCGACTGTCCCAAACACTTTACCGGTCCGCAGTGCCAATTCGAAGATAAACCGTGTCTAAATTATTCTCCACCTGTACTCAATGCTTATAAGAGATGTAATGCGAAGTGAGTATAATGTTTATAGATAATGTTTTACAGTTTTTAAGAGAAAAAATTTTTAATTCAAACAATTTCTTTTTTTAAGAACATGCACTATATCTTGCATGGAGAATTTCATTTTTCCCGATGGTTCATCCGTTGCTAATCTCATTTGTAAGGACGGAAGTTGGATGCCAACTAAAAGCGATTGGGTTTCAATTCCAGATTGCGAACGTACGTGTGCATGATCATTCAATCTCTATACGCCATAAAAAATTAAATACATACAGTATACACTTAACGTAATTATATCTCTACAGCTGTGTGCGATCCATCTTGTCAAAACGGTGGCAATTGTCTGCCAATGAATGTATGCCAATGTCCACAGGATTATCGAGGACCTCAGTGTCAATACTGTAAATGAGGAAATATCTTTATAATTTATAGTTCTGTTTTATTTAACAAAAGATATATATTTGGAAATAAATTTTATTAAATAAGTCTGTTGTATTATATATTTATAATTTATTTTTTTGCAAATTATATATCTAATGAACATATATGGTTGGCAGCTGCCGATGTTTGTAATGCCGAAAAACTACACTTCAATGGTGGATATCACTGCAGAGATTCTGGTGACACATATTCTTGCACACTATACTGTCCACAAGGAGTGCAATTCGAATTTCCAGCTTCCTCGATTTATACTTGCACTTACGATAAAGGAATCTTCGAACCGCAGCCTGTACCGCAATGCAAGATTGAAAATAACATCAAGATTATCTCACATGGCACATTCCACAACACCTACGTACGAGAATCGAATTACTCCTGGTCGATGGAAAATGTTTATGACACCAAAATAAAACACTCTGAAGACATTTTTGAAAAATACAGGGTTTACCGCAACAATACATCTTCACATCCAGTAAATAATACATTCCACATTTACGAAAATACGATTTATTTAATATAAATAAAAATCGTAATAAATATTAAAATGATAACTGCGAAGAGTCTGCGTTTATCTTTATTAAATTAACAAAGTAAAAATGATATGATTAATTTATACTTCATGAAACATTACAGATTCGATTTAATAACCACGATAATCGCATAACGGTATTTGAAGTGAATCGACCGAAACCTAAGACATGCTTCACTTGGGGAGGCACGCACTACAAAACTTTCGATGACAGAATCTATAGCTTCGACAGCAACTGCTCGCACACGCTTCTCTGGGATACTGAAGATGACGTTTGTACAATCATAGTATTAAATGGTCCGGGTTGTAAAACCGGATCGGATCATCATTGCTCCAAGATCGTGAAACTATTCGTGGGCGGTGAGAAGTACGTACTCAGCAATGATGATACAGGTATGCCAATATTTTCCACCAACAAACGATCGTTGCCGATACCGATATACTTGCCTGGATTGCACGTGGACAAGTCCGCGCATTTCATCCTCGTCTCTCTCGACTCGCTGGGCGTGAAGCTGAAGTGGGACGGCGCCTTGCTATTGCAGATTGAAGTTTCTGAGAGTATGTGGAACAAAACGGCTGGTTTGTGCGGCACTATGAACGATGATCCAAACGATGAATTCTTAATGAAGAGTGGAAATTACGCTGGAACTATACTGGCGTTGGCAAGTTCTTGGCGCGTCGAAAGTTTCGAAGGTAATGACAATTATATTTTCAGCCCGTACCTTGTAAATGCTGAACTATAATTTTACATAAAATATTTACGACGTATTTCATTTTATAGAAACATGTGATGATCCAAGTGTACAACATGCATGTGAATCGAGAGACGAATTTGCTCATGATGCATTCCAATTCTGTACCCAGTTGCTCTCTAACAATAAATTTAAGGCTTGCGCCGACACGATTAATCTTTCTGAACTGACTGATGTATGTTTGTGGAATTATTGCGCGTGCAAACACAAAGACAAAAGAAAATGCGCCTGTGATACGATGGACGTTTATATCCGCCAGTGCGTTCACAAAGGAATTGCGCAATTAACCGCGTGGAGAAATGATGATACTTGTCGTGAGTCAATAAAAAATATTTTATAAACCTACTTACCCATATAAAACATATATACTTAATTATTTACAGATAATTGTTTTACTTAATTGTTAAATCAATTATTTGTAGCGATTAATTGCGACGGTGGACGAGTGTACATGTCATGCGGTCCAAAGGTAGAAGTGTCTTGTACTTCCAGTATCGAAGCAACGAGGGAGAGTTCTGAGTGTGAAGAGGGCTGTTTCTGTCCGCCGGGTACCTTAGAAACCCAAGGGAAATGCGTCGCTCCGGAGGAGTGCCCGTGCATATTGAGGGGCAAATTGTTCCAGCCAGGCACAAGCGTGCCGAAGGGCTGCAACACTTGCACGTGCACTTCCGGTAAGTGGGTGTGCACGCAAATACAATGTGGTGCTAGATGCGCCGTTTTGGGTGACCCGCATTATACCACGTTTGATGGCATGCATTACAATTTTATGGGAAAATGCAAATATTACTTGATGAAGGGAGAAAATTATACGATCGAAAGTGAAAATGTTGCGTGTTCCGGAGCAATATCTCAGGTTAGAGAAATCTCTTTTATTGAAGAAATTTGATATGTTATATTTTTAGCACTTTAGAAAGACTACACATATTGGTATATAAATTCACGCGAAATTATATATAAGCAACTAAGATCCGAGGTAGACTGTTATAGGCTTTGTATTCGTATTAGTTATGTTTGTTATATTTTTATCAATTATATAAATTATTACATATTTCCCCCCTGACTTATTAATCTTAATTAATTATTTATTTCAGAACATGGGCTTTGCTTCTGCAGGCTCCCCATCATGCGTCAAGACTGTTACACTCACTTTTAAGGACACCTCTATAAAATTAAAGCAGAATCGCCAGATTACGATAAATGGTGATGAAGTAACAAAATTTCCAATGTTTTTTAATGGTGCCCGA